AAAATCCATTTTTTATCGATGCGATACTGACTTGTACAACATTGTTCCAATAAAATTTATTTTTTTTCCTTAAAAAAATCCTCAGAATAGAAAATTAATACGCAGTTTAGGAGTAAAGATAGGTTGCTACGTTCTGGTGGCACCATCTGTTACCTCCTCTTTTTCAGGGGCATCCTTTTAACTCTGCATGGGGTCACTACGGATAAATAAATGAATTTTAAGTGTTGCTAGTGGTTGATTGTGGGAGAAATGGACCACTGTATGGGATTTTAAACTATGAAATTCAGAAATTTAACGGATGTTGTCATATCGAGAGCAATCATTTGGCTGTGAAGTTCTGAGGAAGTAAACGCAGAGTTTTATTTCATAACTCAACTTTGCCTAAGCTATTTTGAAACTCTGCAAAACATATGGGGATTCTGTTAAGGTTTCATCTGCTATTCAAGGAAGGAGGTGAAAACGAAGGTAGGGAAGTTGCATATTTTTTATGCGATTTATGACACGATTGAGCATCTATCACAGGAAATGGTGATTGGTACTCCCAAATTTTTTATGCGGAAAAATCTTTCAAAGAATCTTGAAGCACTTTCACTCCTGAGGCTGAGAAGAAAATCTATCATAAAGCTTCAAACGTAAAATTTGGCTTTAATGTTCACCTGGGCCACTAGCCTCTTGCACGGCGAAGAGGTATCTTCACCTTTCCCTTAGAGTTAATGTTCAAGGGGCACAGTACCCTCGCTGAAAAAAGAGCTAGGGCCGAAGCGTTCCATAGATGTCGGAGAGTGTCTCCCCGCCCTCAGACTCGCCGGCCCTTGAGCCAAGGGCGAGGGCAAGGAGGCGAAGGAGGAAGTCCTAGGAGGAAGTCCTAGAAGCTCACCATAAAAACTCCGCGACATCAATAGTATTATTCTGACGGCCTTTATCAATCCTCTCCTTACACGCATATTTCTGCTTATTTAGATGTCACTTGAGCCTCTCTTCGGGTTATGCCGTCCTAACATCTAAGTTGGAATCAAGGTTTCTTCTTGTTTTAGAAATGGTCTTCGGAGCTTCGGTGAGAAAGGAAACAGAACGAACAAGCCATTTTCAGAGCCAAAATTTGCCTTTGTGTCTACCGTAAAGGAGAATAGGCAGGATAACCGAAAAATGACATGAAAGTGGCATCTCCGGCGGCTATCTTGCGTATGTGAGAGTATCTGCATCGAGGACTTCAGCGCAAATAGGTCCATATATCACTACATGGTCTTTTTTTCAAGGGGGGAACGGGTAGAAGGGAGGCCCCTGAACGGGTCTTAAGGGGACGTCCCCTCAGGTCAAATAAATTCTAGGAAGCCGGTGTCGAATGATATTTCCCCCCTCCCTCCATTAATGGAAATGAAGGAACATCGCCTCGTTCCTCGGCGGCTATTTCTTCCGTGCCTTTTAGTGTTCCTTTTGCGCCTCCATCTGCTTCGCTAACGTCTAAGCCAGTGTCGACTCCTCGGGGCGATCTTGAAAGCCACATCAAAGATTCCAGACAAAGGAGGTAAAAGGCAAATGAAGGCAGGGAGGAAGAGACATCGTCCTCTACAGGAGGATTTTCTGCTTTGATATCGTTTGGCCAGTTTCTGACAGTAAAGGTTATATTATTCTCTTTTCGCGATCGACACACTTACAATTCTACTTTTTTTTTTTTAAAGGAACTCTCTTCATTTCCATTAAGGGCGGTGGGGAAAAATGTCATACGACACCGGAATGCTCTCGGTCCCATAAGTGTATCGAACCGATGGCGAGTCATCTTCGTATCTTATCGATGGTCTGAGAGCGTCTTCATGCGGGGTTCAACATGATGCAACGTTGCGTAAGACCTGTTGATTCGTTCCATTCATGTTTTCCAGCATGAATTCAACGTGATGGATACTGAATCCTCCATGTTTTTTTTTTTTTGCAATAGCGAGTCGGTTTTCTTGCACAGACTGGGAAAGAAGAGAAGAACCCATTCCGAATAACTTCCATTTCTCGAAAATTCTCTGGTCGCAGCCGTTTTATCTACTCGGCAAGATTATTTATAGCAGAATATTATAGAAATTTCTTGATTTTTCAATTTTGCAAAAATTTGTCGAAGTGTCATTTTGTGCTATAAAAAATTACGCGAAATCTTCATGCATAACGATGCATTCAAAGGGAAAAGTCCTTTAAACTTGAATCAAATTTTGCTAGAACAGATCCTTTTGGAAAACTCCGTCCGAATGAGATTAATTTCTCTGAAAAAATGAAATCTCAGAGCTGTTCCATCACATATCTGCAAATTGAAAGCCCACCGATAGAAAGTGCATGGGGAGAGTCTTTCGAGAGAGAAGTCATTTTGACTCATATTTGCGAGGAAACCTTGACGGGACAGCGCAAAAAGTTTCTTCCCATTTTTGCCGGAAAGAATTGGGAATTTAGCTTCTCTTCGTTGGTCCCCTTGCGGTCCTAAGTTAAATAAGGAATCCGGAGGACGGTTTCATTCCTCATTCGTCCACGCGACAAACGAAAAGGACGACTGAAAAAGGAGAAAATAAATTATAAAAAAAATCCTGCTACGTTCGGGCAAAATCTTTCCGAAATAACAGGTGGAGAACTTTCCACTTCCGTGATAGGTTCAGCGCATTTGTTATCTCGCAGAATTTCCTCTCAAAAACGACAGGGAGAGACAGAAATCTCTGCATGCATTTGAGGAAGAGAGAAGGGAGGAAACTGGAGGACCGAACCGGGAAAGCCTCTCCGCAAAATCAGCTGGAACGCTTCCAGTCCCTTAGAATCGTCGGCTTCGTATATTATCCATGTACCTGGCGCGTTTCCATGTGGGATCGACCTCGATTCGATGTTGTGATAATTGTTTGCTGATTCAACCGATGTTTTTCAGAATTCTACGTGATGCACACCGAATTCTCGATATTTTGCAATGGTGAGCGGATATTTTTGTGCAGACTGGGAAGGACCTTCACGAGAACACATTCTGAGTTATTTCCAAATCTCTGATGGTAGTTATCTTATTTTATAGGTATTTTATATCTTATTTTATAGTTTACATTCAGAGCAGAAAGATTCAAAGTTATAGCAGAATATTCCAGAAAATGTTACATTTTCCATTTTGTGAAAAACTTACATGGCTCATGGCACAAATACTTCATGCATTACAATGCTTGAAAAGGGAGGAGTCGTTTTTACTTTATTCATCTTTCCATAAAAACCAATATTTATTATTTTTACCAAGAGAGAATGCCACCCTCAACAGATGAACTTCTCTGAGAATATTGAATCTTTGAGCTGTTCCACCGCATGTTTGCAAATTCAAATCCCACAAGTAATCCGTGAATGTTTCGAGTGAGAAGTCATAATGGTACACGAATGCGCGAAAACCTTGAGGGCGCAACGCCATCAATTTCTCTTCTTCTTTGCCTGAATCTTGGATATTTTTGCATATTTTCATTGCAGTCCCATCAATGGCGGATACAGAAATTTTTGCTAGGGGCGGCGCTTCCCGTGTTTCTTCCACAACCCCCCTCCCCCCCCCCCACCACGCACCGTCTTATCGCCTTATTCATTTTTCGCGTGGGGTAAAAACTTGCATGTCTGTTTCACTGGCCTCAATAACAATTAATGTCGGTGCTTTTTAAATGTAAAAAGTAGAATGTGAACCTGGCCATTGGGGGGGGGGGGGGGGGGGTCCCCCCCCCACATCCCTGGATCAGCCACTGAGTTCCATTAGTCTCATTGCAATCCCTTTAACGTCCCAATTGCAGCTCCATTGCAGTCACATTGCAGTTCCATTGCGTCAACTTCAGAGCCCTCCTGCCTGACATGGGGCATTCGGGAAGAAGGAAAAGGCTGAGGAATCTGGATGACTGTTTCATTCATTCGTCCATGCGATAACGATAACGAAGACAGAAACCGAGGAAAAATCACAAAGCCTGGCAATGTCAGTTCGGGCTATTTCTTTCCGAAACGACAGGAACAGAACTTTCTTCGGTCCTCATACCAAAAGAGGATTTTCACTTTCGTACGACTAAAGAAGTCCCATCGATATTAGTCCGATTACGATAAGTTACGCTCGTTTCTACTCACAAAAGCGCGGAGAGAATGCACGGCACTCTTTTTCCTCTGCGATCGGGTGAACTAAGCGAGAATCCCTCGGGAAGCCGGGAGACTCCATGACTTTCGATATTCCTCGCGGAATCCCTGCTGATTCGATGCATACAGCCGAAAGAAGTTTCTCTAAAGCCGAAAAACTCGCGAGGCAGAAGACACCGAAAAGGGGCGCGGCGTCTCCTCTCGTCGGTGCACGCATTCTTAGGAATGGAGGATACGGCACTTCCTGTCTCCGAGGCGGTTTTCTCTCAGTTCCAGAGGTCGGCCCAGCCGTTGTGGTAGGTGAAGCGATGCCGAGGGGTGTCGTCCCTCGTCACCTTGCACGGAACGCACCCGTGATGATGCGGACCGATGAGAGTGAAGGGATCCTCGTCGGGACTGGGCACGGGGACCCCCTCCCCCGCCTTTTCCAGCGCCATTCTGAGGTCCGCGATCAAGTCGTCTGGCTCCTCCAAGCCCACGCTCATCCGGACCAGGTTCGGGGTGATGCCCCGCTGTGCCGCCTCTTCCTCGGTGAACGACGTCCCCATCACCGCCCTGTAACACGCGTCCCGACCGAAATCCGTGAACCGGAGTCTCCGAGCGACGGTGCCGTGCAGGGACGTAGCCGGGATTTCCTCCGGGGAAAGGACGACGCGACCGGGAATCGGGTCGTCTGCGTTCACACGCTGGGGATCTTTCGTGGCCAAGGAGACGAAGCAAAAGCGATCATCTCCCTTTACTTTCCTCTAACGTGACGTCTTCTCTGCAATCGATCGACGGCTTCCTATTTTCATCTAATGATATCAAATTGGGGCGATCGAATCGTCTCGTTTTCCCCTCGCTGTCCCGGCTACGGTCCCGAACGTGCGCCGTCGGCCTGGAACTCGAAAGACGCGGAGATTCTCTCACGGGATCTTGACGACGCTCTCGGCCCCGCCGAGGCTGTCGGCATGAGTCACGATCTTGAGGTGTCCCGTGAAGAGCCGCGCCGTCTCTCTGTCCCCCGCGACGTAGAAGGACAGCATCCCGCTGTATCCCTTGGTCTGCCTCCTCAACAGCTCCTTGTACTCGTAATCCTCCAGTCCCGGGTGGATGACCCTCTCGACCAGCGGGTGCGAGGCGAGGAACTGGGCGACCTGGAGGCTGGAGGTCATGTGGCGGCGCATGCGCAGCGACAGCGTCTTCAGGCTTCGGAGGGTGAGATAGCAGTCGAACGGGGACGGCACGCAACCGGCGCCTGGACACACGAACGGTAAATTCACGACACGTTCCATCGCTTCTGTAACTGATGTGAAAGTGACATTGGCGATTTTGCTAACTATAGGTTCTACTTACACTTACACTAGGTCTTACACTTTGAAAACAACCAAGTATAATATTTTCGGCCGCACGGCAGTAACGTGAGTGTTTGCAGGGATGAGAAAGAGAGCTAGCGAAAACATGCAAATGAAAACATATGGACCGTTACGAATGTTCAAAGTAAAGTTTTGCATAGATTTTTGCGGGGAGAGACGAGAGGTTTCCCTCCCGACGCTCGTATTCCTTCCCCATTCCCCTCGACTTTCAAGATTTTCCCAACAAAAAGTAGGTATTTGAAGGAGGAGCAAAGGGAAATCGGAACGAAAGGGTACCCTCGTGGAAGCAGAAGAAAAATAGACCAGCAATCCTATCGGCGGTATGTTGAGCACTTTGAGATAACCGAGAAAGGGAACCGCATGGATTTCGTCGTCCCGTGGAGCGAATAGGTCTTTTCAAACTTCGTATCTCGGCCTGACGTCAGCCGATCTCTCTATCTGGTTCGGTTCCGAGACCGTTTTTTCTCACATCGCTTATCTCTCGAGGTTGGTGCACGGCAACGAAAACAGGACCATCGACCGTCGTTCCATCCGATTTCTATCGATGCGTGAAGGACCGTAGGACCCCGTAAGAGTGAAGAAACCCCCTCGGCTGGCATCTGGCATTCCGTCCGTGTCGAGATTCTCCCGCGAGAGGCCGGCCCGGTTCCGTGGACCCTCCCGTCGTTCCCTCTCGTCGTGGCCTAACGGTAGGATCCCGACAACTTTCCTCTAAAACAGTGGTTCTCAACCTTCCTTATACTCTCATTGAACCTTCATGCATTCGGGGGGGGGGGGGGGACACCCCCCAGGTTGAGAAGAAACTGCTCATGGGTGGTGGGGGGGGGGGGGGGGGGGGGGGGGGGGTGACACCTCCCAGGTTGAGAAGAAACTGCTCACGGCCGGAAAGACGGCTTCTCGCTCTTCTCGCCGTCGTTCTGGGCGTCCGCGATCTGGTTTTGCGTAACGACTCGTCCGTCCAAATTCAGGTCGTCTAATATCGTCGCGTTTCTTTCTCGTGATCGAAAATAATATCATCTGTCGCTCTCGTAGGCACGATGGGAAAATTTAAAACATCACGATCGGTCGATCGTTTTTAAATTCTTTTTCCATACCGTCTGTCCGCAGTTACCATGGCATCAACTGGACTCGGTGCGCACGCGCAGCCTCCGGCCTGGGTTGGGGAGCCAGTCGATGGCTCGATCTTCCAGTTCTCTCCCACCCTCGCGGGTGACGGTTACATAATAGACGAGGGGAGACGGCAGCTGCTCGTGGCAGCGCAGATAGTGGTTCTGACCGAGCTCGTGAAATGCCGCATCTGGCATGCCACACTCGATAGTCTCCCATCGCGCGACGCGGACGCGCAAACCGTCGAGGACGTCGTCCGGTCGTCCGGTCGTCCGGTCGTCCGGGACCGGTCGCGTCGGCCTTCGACGTGCGAACGACGGCTTTCGTTTTTAAAGCCGGATGGTTACCATGCGGCGAAACGACAGATCATTCCAGAGGTATGGCGGCCGGTGGAATGGGAAATCCGCGCACGGACTCGTTGCTCCAGATTTCGGACTCGACGCATTCACGCCTCTACTTTGTGCCCCACGGCGGTGCGAAGGGAGCCAACGGGTCCCTTCGCCAGTCTCGGCGTCTCCGCGTGTGGAATGCGTATTGACGCGTCCGAAAGGAAACGCGAATATCTCCGCGATGAGTAAAATCTGTCGTTCGCGGCTTTAATACTTCCCCGTTTCGACATAAAATACGGTAAACTTTTGCGAAGATCATTTTCGCAGTCTACGAGCATCGTTGACATATAGCTTTTGTACGAAAAAGAATTTGCAAGAAAAAGCAAAAAAAAAAAAACAGACCACAACAAAGGCGACGAGTAAAACGTTCACTCTTAACGGTGGATTTATACAGAGCGGAAATTTTCCTTTTCCGATCGCGTTTCCAGCCGGAGAGATAAAAAACCTCGCTAAAATATACATTTAAAAATGAGGGAAGGTGCCTCATTTTGTTAGAGTCGAACTGTATGAATTATCATTACAATCTGCGAAGAGCTTCTTGGACTCCCCCGAACACTTAAGCTCTTTCCTGCTTTCCAACGGATTCTCCTGCATTTCCTTGTAAAAAAAAAAAAAAAAAAAAAAAACTTTTTCACTTTTCCCCCCACAAAAAAAGGAAAGTACTGTTGTAATAATAACATGGCTTCCTTCGACGAGGAATCACACCAGTAACCAATAATATATATGGCGTCTCCCCGATGGCCTTAGTGCTTTCAATTTGTCGAAGTATCACTCCACGAACGTTTAAAAAACAATTGGGAGCTTTCACATCTTTCAGCACATGAGGCAGATGGGCCGTGAAGACATTCGTCGAAACGATTGCCAGGAGCCAACTGCATGCCATCGTACTTTTCGCCCGATCTTTCGTCGGGTCTCGAGATACGCGCGGTTGGAAGAAGGGAAACGTCGAGATTTTTTTCGCTGACGGGCAGATGCCGAGATCCTGCGTCATTTTGGGCGGAGGGAAAATCATTCACGTGGGTGCGCCGTGTGGATTTAAATATATACATATGTATGTGAAAAAAATATACATATACATATACATATGTGTATATGTATGTGAAAAAATGTTGAAAAATATATTTAAAATAGGTGAAGTTTTTTGAAAGGATCTCTTGTGGAAATATTGTTCACGGGGTTCGGACCGATAGAGCTTGGACCTTTGCTGCGTGCGCGAGGCAGCGGCCCGAGCCCTGTCGCGTGCCGCCGTCTCTTCGGCGTCGCGCAATTTTCGGGCCGTGACGCTTAAATGTCTGGAATCGTGCAATTAAATGGACGCATGTCTTTTGTTGAACGCGAAATTCAAAGGTGCTATCTCGGTCGTACGTATCCTGGTTAAATGGGTAGGGGGGGAGAGAAAAGGGCTTTTTGCGTATGCTCTTTTCATCCGTCGGACGCTTCCGTGCTTCCACGATCCGAGTCCGTTTTTCGCTTTTCCGTCAGTCTTCGACGATCCGATCGGATCGGTTCCACGATCGTCTATGCCGTCGCGGGAGTTTCGTTCCTTTCGTTACCGGAGGTCCGCCGACGGTCGGTGGTTTCCGTTTCGTGCCGGCGGTAACCGCTGGCTTCCGTTTTGTTTTTCGCTCTGTTACCGGCGGAAATCGGCGCGGAAAGCGAAATTTCGTCAAACTCGAGAACGGAGATTTCCGCTTTCCGCCGTCGACAAATTCGTGGCTCGGCTTTTGCCGATCGATCGATCGGAATTGCAAAAACGAGCAAAGAAGGGGCGGAAGAGAAGATGGAGCGTGCCGTCAACATTCGAGAGGGACCGGCACGGAGAATACCATGCTCTCGGGACCGGCCTTAGGTACGTGCCGCATGCGCCGCACGTTCCCCCGCCAAAACGCGACTGAATATGTGATGCAGTAATGGATGCTACCCTCAGCTTTACTGTAGAAAGTGGAAATGGCTTCCGTTTCGGCGTCACTTTCAACGTTAGGGATTCATCCTTCTCCTTCTTGGGGGGAAGGGAAGGGGGAGGGGAAGAGGGGGGAAGAGGGGGGGAAGGGGGGGGGGGCGTTTGGAGTCTCTTTGCACAGGGCGCCGAAATAGCTAGAGCCGGCCCTGCATGCTCTAATGCAAGAAATGCGCTTGACAGACGAAAATAAGCATTTTTCGCATGTACGAGAATGACACCAGACAGATTTCATCATCTCCTCGGGTCAGTCGGATGCAAACTCCAACGGAAAGACGGGAATCGTTCCCGCCCGATTTTTTCCAAGCGAACGACAAAAATCCTCTCGGAAATAGGGTCTCGGGACTCCGTTTCGACTCGGTCTCTCCCGCTTCGCCAAACGGGAGAAGTTACAATTTCTTGCACAGGGAGAAAAGGAAGTAAAACTGAGCTTTGAAAGTTGTCGGCCGATCAGAGTCCATATTTTTCCGTCCATTTTCCTCCAGCGATCCAACCGGAACCGGTTCGCCGCCGGACGGCCAGCGGTTTCCGTTTCGTGCCGGCGGTGACCGCCGACTTCCGTTTTACGTTTTCCGCGTCGTTTTCCGCTCGGTATAAATCCAACTTCAGCCCGGTCGCTTCACGGGTTCAGAAACGGAGCTAAGAGTTTTCACTCGATTAACGATGAGGAGACGAGGCAAGAGGCTCAGCTGGCATGAAAACTCTCGTAACTCGCACGTGCAAGATCGTCTCGAATGTCACCGAATGAGATTTCAAGTCGGTGCCGTAACGGACTCTTAACTCTCTTTGCAATACCCAACTCACTGTATTTTTTCCCTCGTCACGGTGGAAACGAAATGACTCCTCCAAACGGGACGTTCCCTAACGTGAAGTCACCCTCGATGCCTCATTCTCCCTATTTCAACGTTTATTTGATGTTTTTATGAAGACTTCCTCCTGATAAGGGGAGCTTTCCCGCGGATCACCGTGTCTCAGCGGTTTCAACGATAAACGTAGGAAAAGAATTGTTTAGGGTGTGGGCTCCCCTCCTTCATGAATTCCAGCTAGATCATATTGTTGCATTTAATAAGTTATCCTCAGGTGTTGACCTTTCACGAATCGAAACGTAAAGCACCGATTTGAACTTTCTTTTCCAGGGCGTTTTTAGAGGGAGTGCAATCAAGGATAGTCATTCCTGAGAACGATTTCCCGCCACGATCAATCTTCAGCAGTAAAACCTCGAAAAGGAAAAGGTTTTTCGACTGGGCTGTACCGGGTGATTACATTTTGAAGTGCTGCAAGACATGAGTCCGCGCAAGAGAAAATTCTTACGTGGACGCTTTTGGACGTTCGACAACACTGCTGGTCTGTTTCTATGTTGCTTGGCTGCGGTCTGTTTAGTTCTTCGCAGTTGTGAATGTACTGTAGCCCTTAGACTAGGCCAGGACAACAATGATATTGGCAACAAGTTTACCACCTCCCAGTTTGTTCATGATATTTGCTCTAGGCCTTGGCCTCCCTTCCCATTTATGACCCACAGCCGAAGTCTCCCGTCAATGTCATCTTTAATTCAATTCAAAGTTGCATTGAATACCCTAGGTCTAGTCTTAGGCCTAGGCCTAAGCCTATTCATAGTGATGAGAATTGTGTTTTCACAATGTTTTCACAAACCGCTGTAAGGGTGCATACGCTATTTGAGTTTCAACTCCAGGGAAATATACCAAATCCCAATTCACTTTGAGGAAGCATGAAACTGCTGGTCTCTGTAGGCCCCTACAAAATAGTGATTTGCAGTGAGAGGTTGTTTGAACTCATTGTGAAACCACTGCAATTAAATTATGACATTACATTAAGTCCTTTGTAAACATATTGAATTCAACTAAGCTACACAGTTTTAGGTAAATAATCCTTCCATGTGAATTTCATTTGCCCAAGACTGGCTGAGCTCCTAGTTATAACAGGTAGCTAACTTGAAATAATGCTGACTTCATCAGTCATAGAAAAATCTGTCTAACTGAAGTGAAAATGTGGTAAAATTTTTTTAACATTACTGTAAATCTTTGCCTACTATGGGCTAAGTCATGAGTAATCATTGCAACTCATCAGTTCTGCCTTTATGCTGACTTATCATTCAGCATTTTCTCATGAGAATCTAATATGCTTTGGTGGGTAGGTGGAGGACATCCAGGCTGTACCAAAAAAAATCATGAGACCGGAACTTTTTCCTGAATTCTATGGGACTGACCTGTCAGAAGGGTGGTCTATGTAATTGTAAGCAATGACAACATACTTACATGCATACATTTCTTGATATATCTGGCTGGCTAAGCAGACATCATTCACAGATTTCTATCATGTCTATGAATCATATATGAGAATCACCTGATATAAATATCCTATAAATAAATAAATATCCTGTTATAAATAATGTCAGAAGTGAAAGTTAATGGAAGCCATCCTGCATGTATTTTGGCTGGGCAACAAGAACATGAATAAAAATATTGTATATCTCTTCTGGAGAATTATAAAATTCAAGAACTCTAATACCTTATACTGTTTTCATACACGTTCCCCCATACAGAAAGTTCCTATGTGGATCCTATAAGTAGTTATCTGTGTCAAACATTTATAATTTTTCTACATATTGACATATGAGAGCATATGTGGGTAAAGCTTGTAATTCATGTGAGGCATATTCATGCATTAAACATATTGGCAACATGTGTTTTCTATATAGAAGAACCATCAGGTTTGAGGGATAGGCATTAGTGATAAATGTACCTGAATGAAGTTTATTATTTTTGTGAGTATTTGAACAAAATTACCTTACAGAAATCTACATTTTTTCAAAGTGTAAGTTCTTTTTTTTTGGCCTATGAAGTCCATTGCTATTGCAGCAACTGAACTAGGAAAATTTCTAGTGGCCAAGGTATCTGAGAATGTCTCTGCTCTTAATTAAAATATGGTAGAGCCATGAGGAAGAATTAAGAGGAATAGCATGCAAGGTGAACAAAGCATCCTGAAATGAATACCTAATTGGCATCTGCATGGAGAATCTGCAGTGGTTACTTTCGTTTTTTCTAATTCATCCCATATTAGTGGTGCAATCTACACAACTTAATGAATCCAAATTTCTAGTTTGCAGTATAATTTTTTAAATTATAATTTTGTGCTAAAATGGACATTTTTGCATACTTATTCCAGCCTGGCTCATTTCTAGCACAAGAGAGAGGTAGTTTTTGTGTTTTCTATGTCATTTCAATGACAGATGAAGTGCCAATTCTTGGTATGGTTCCCAAAATAATAATTTTTTACATTTGGACAAGATTGTATGACATATTTTATGTGTTTCATACCTGATTTTTTTATGTCTCCAACCAGGTGTGACATATCAAACTCATATAAATACATTATCTGTACCTTCATGTCTTTGACATAGATGCCTTTCATCAAGTTCATGAAAGGCCTTGACATATATGATCATGTGCTCATTGTTTTAAAGAGAGTACATGATTAGATATTTTTTCCAATACATGTTCATATATTATCGAATATGATGGACCAAATATGCCACTTGTGTGTCATGTATGTCTATTTCTTATAAAATCACATATGATTTCTCTGCATGGGTCTACTCCTTTGTCTACATCTTTGTTGTGTGAATATTCATTTGTGCATCAAGCCCCCTTATAAGATGTAAGAGCTTCTTTGAGAAAGAGCAGTTCTAATATTTTTCAAGTGTATCTTCCAATTTTTACCAAGAGAATTTCATAGATAAAAAAGGGTTTGTAGTCTTTTGATTGCAAAAAAAGACATTTCGTTCTCTGCAACCTGACCTAGAAGCATAAATAAGCACTTTTGTCCTGATTTCCCAGAATGTATTCCTAGTCTCAATGAGGATTGGCAATTTAGTATCATACCAAAATTAACAAATTTGAAGAGTGGATCTGGAAAAATACTGCAATACCTAGCAAAGGTGGCAGTGGGCTGTAAGGTAGGGGGCAGTCATTAGTTGGAGATGGATTTTTTGAAGGATTCTTAAGTGGGTTAGGATCTTATTTTGGGGAAGAGCATTCTATCAACAACTGTCTGGGAGAAAAAAAAAAAAACTGCTTAAATGATAAAATCCTAGCATGAATGTGATGCAGAGACCAGCTTTGCATGCCCTTCCTTTTTCTGTTGTTATTTTTAGTCAACTATGTCCACAATTGGTAGCACTATAAATCGTAATGAAGCTCATTAGCCTTGTACAGGATAAAATGGGGTAAGAATTGGGACTTGGAACCTTGTTGGATGTTGTAGAGCTGTTCATAGATGATGGGGTCATTGAGTGCCACATATCCCATGGTGACATCGTTGTGTCCATTGACATACTTTGTGGCTGAATACACTGCCAGATGTGCACCGAGCTCCAGCGGCGGCTGAGGAAAACAGTCACGCCTGCAAATATAATAGTGATCCATCCCACCCAATTCCATATCTGCTTCAAATAAGAGCAATGACAAGATCCATAATATGATTGATCATTCTTTCAGTTAACTGTCAAATGATCTTGAATGCCAAGATGAGTAACTGGAGCTGATGTATAGTCAGCTATTAATATTCACCACTACATATATTTTTATTACATTTGAAAGTTAGTTGGTTTCAAGCTCATGAGACAATTTGATATTGTACTGCAGCAGTATTATAAACTTGTGCTTCATATTTCTCAAAATATTTCTCTAAGCTCTAGTTGTAGCTGTAGGTGTTGGAATCAGGTAAATGAGTGCTGGACTTCATACTAACTTCATTCATGAACATAAGACTGACCATGAAGTATGAGGTGAAAAAGGTGTTGTCAACAGCTAGCATGCAGCCTTGCTTGCTCCGAGCCACCTCGGCCAAGGCTTGAATATCCACGAGTCTCAACATGGGGTTTGTTATTGGCTCCACCCAAATCATCTGATGAGCCAGAAGAAGACATCAAATCCATGTACTATAAGGTGGGGGTACACAAACTATGACCTGGGTGCCACATACAGAAAAGCACCTTCATGAACATCTGCTTTGTGCACCCCTGCTGTACAGCAAGAGGTTTAAGGTCTGGGCTAATATAGGATTAAATAGGTTTTCAGAGAGCTGGACCTTGGTATTGTCTTTGAGGGCATGCTTGACTTTGTTGGGATCCCGGGCATCAAGGAATGTGGATTGAATCCCCATTCGAAGGGCCATTTCTTGTAATTCCACCACAACACCTGGGTAAAGGTCATCATGGCAGATCCAGTGATCTCCAGCACATAGCAGATGAATCACTGCTCCTACCGCTCCCACTCCCGAGGCAAAACAAAGCACTGCAAAATGTCAGTTTTTGTAATTAGAAGAGGTAACATCTGGAAATCATGCTTATGGAACATTTTAATAACAAAACACATCGTACATCACCTTCCATGCTAAGCAGTTAGAAGGATTTCATGAATCATGGCCTACGATGAAGAATCAGAAGTCAAGATTTGGGTATTGTGGAATGCTTATTGTTTAAGGTTATCCCCTACAAAGCAATTGGAATAATAGCATGGTCCCATCAGAAAGGTGCTGGTAGTGAGTATTACAGGGTATGATATTGTCTTTTACTTCAAAGTTATAACCCTGCCTTGTACAATGTCTCTATGATTCATGGGGAGATTTTAAAGATATATTGGACCTTGCCAGGCCTAATTTCATGCCCGGAATAAACCTGCAGGGTCTCATCGCAGGCATCAAGGGTCGAAAGCCTTTCGTTCGACTCGAAAGTAGTCCTGCGGCACGCGTTCTTTCCATGCACATCCCAACTCGTGAGCCAATGCGAAGGAATAAGTACTGTATAGTACCTCTGTGCTGTTCCAACGTTAGTCCCGCCTTGCCTTGTAGCCCATCGATAGATCGATCCTGCACTCATGCTATCATCTTACAGTATGTTTGCGTGCGTGTGTCCGAGCAATATCGGTAGACGGAAGACTGCGGTGTGCGACAAATAAGGCTCCTCCAGATGTTGACGGGCATGGAAACAAATCCGTTCACTAGTTCGTTTTGGCGCCTGAAAGCCTTCCGAAAGTTTTTTTTTCCTTACACAAACGGGCTTTCCCGTGTTCACATCCTGCGCGCCGCAACCTCCTCCCCACATCTTTGTATCGTTGCTCCAATGGAACTACACGTCCACGCGTTATGTAATTGTGGACGGGTTTTCCATCGACAGAACTTCAACTTTCGCAAAAATTTGATGTTAAAGCCGTAGTTACGGCTTCATTAACTCCCTTGTGCTTGTTTGCTCCTTTTTTTGCACGAGACCCAAGAGCATGGAAAAACATGTCTACTGTGAAAAGCGAAGCTAGGCCCCTTCACGTCTTTCAGCTGCGTCTCCTGTAATACATATCACGTTTTCTCTTTTGAATGACTCACGTAATACGAGGTCCAATTAAAAAGTTCACGGACCTGTGCGTTGACCACTTTGTTCCTTGATTTACAGATGCCGGTTCTCGTGGGGATTTATTAGGTCTTAGGAAGAAGTTCTGGATAATTGGCTTTCTTTCTTATCCGTTCGGAATTTTGTTTAAATTTTCGCTGAGCAACCCTCGGTCAAAAGGACTGGAACATTTGAGTGAACGAAATTAGAAATTCAGAGCGTCGTGAAAATAGGGAAAATGAATCACTGAACCGTACGTTTTGTGCTGCTACTACTTGAGCAGATGCTTCAGTTTATTCCATGATATTCTATTGGCGCTAATTTTTTTCCAAAGAAGCACATCGTCAGAAGCGACTCGAGGCCAGTTCAACTATCGTCAAGGTCGGTTGAAGAGAAGGTGCAAGAAATCCTGAAGATCAGAGAGGGAAAATTCGTGAGGTATCTGAGCGCCTGGATAGAGCTCATGGCGGCGTTCTGGCAATCGGCTCCAGTCATCGATTGATAGCAATCGACCCCAGTCATCGATTGATAGCAATCGACCTAGCCTTGGGGTCATCTCTGACGAAAGTTGTTCTTTTGTTTGTTTTTTTTTTAGCTGTTTGCGTCACTCGAATGCCTCAGAGGTTTTTGCGCCATTGCATTTTTTTCTCCCACTTCCACTTTTCATGGCACTCTGAATTGTTTGGATAAAAAGAAACTTAGTTTGGAAAGCCGTTTCCCCACAGCGCGCGTCAGTGTCGTACTTCCTACTGCAATCCGCCGAGAATTGATTCGGATCGTGCTCATAAGAGATGTCAGTCGTGAACTTTGCCACATCCGGTGAATAAATATCTTTTGCAGGGATATTTTCAGGCAAGCCCTTATCCGGTGAATGGAATAAAATTCGAAGGCACAATTTTGTTAAATTCCAGTCCCATCGTGCCAAAAAGAGTTCGCACAACTTGGAACGTAGCGCGTGAAGGGAAAGAATGGTAACTGCGTAGAGAATGACACGGCACCAAGGTCATGGGACGCCTTCCCCATTCAATGGTTTAGTGGCGTACGTGTGCACACTCAGAATAAACAATAGTGACAGATAAAAGTGCCCTCTTGAAGTCGGTCCTTACAAACAGACAAAGTCAATTACCGTCTCCTATCCTAATTTAGGTGGCAATGCATAAACCATTATTTTATTCCCCCCCCTCCCTCCTTCCCCCCCCCCCCAAAAAAAAAAAATGTAGATCCTATCCAACGAAACAATTATCTAAAGAGCTTTTTGAGTTGTTATATGCCCACTCGGAATTCCGTGCTGCGATCACGACGAATTCCATGTCTTAATCTCCTTTAACTTTGTACGAAATATAGTCAACAATTGATAAAACGCCACTGTTGAGCGTCGCCATTTTGGCGCTATGACGCGTGTGCAGTGGCGGATACAGGGGGGGGGGGCATCCCCCTATGGCCAGGTTAGCATTTGATTTATTTACTCAAAAAATAAAAAACGGCGAAAGGAGGAGGAATGGTGGTAGGCGCGGGGGGGTGGGGGGTTGGTAGGAACTTGGGAACCGCCCCCCCTATGAAAATTTTCTGTATCCGTCCCTGCGCGTGTGGCGCTACGTCGAATGAACTGCCATATGCTAGTGGCTACGATACCAAAGTATCCTAAGGAGAAATTGACTACTTAGATGTGAGGCTTATATTACCATCTTGATTCCCCTCAGATACTCGTAGACCATACGCTTATCCTATTGTTCCATTGCGGAGTCACCTCTCACAGTGGCAACATATGTAACTATTTAGCACTGGGTAAGGGTTGCGACACTTACTCTACTTGGCGCTAAATCGAGGAGAATTTATTTGGGAAAAAGCATGATTTTATAAGTGATGGTGTTGACGGATGGCGGCTTGCGAGGGTGGCGTTATGACGGGGGTGAGCCTATAATAAGCTTATGGGGAATATTTTTTTCCCTGGAAAGAGTTGTCGGTAAGCGAAGTTGATGGTATATCGAAGATTGACTCTAAGAAGTTCGACAGCTCGACCTAGGGAAGACGGAAGTGTCCGTGCCGCTTGCTACTTCTCCACCGGTCACTTATATTTTTTAATGGGAATTTTGATGAGTTTCAAATTAAGAAAGTTTTTAGCGTTAAGCTGTACCTTTTTAAATACTTAAATCTCTATCTCCTCAAAGTCGGCCCATTTCCCGGAGCTTCGCAATACTATCCACGACATCTCACCGTACCATATTTGGCTTTCTCCAGTGCAGCCAGTCTGGACTCCAAGACTTCCCTAATCGGGTTCCCCACTCGACCGTACATAAACGATTTCTATCGGGACGAGAGAAAAGACACCCGTGAAGCGAAAAACCCTCCATCGGGACCGCGAGAGATGATTGATGAAGATCCCCCACATCCTGCTTAGCGGAGGAGGCGGGGCAGGCCCTCTGCTTGAAGATGGTCGAGAGCGAGATGGGCGTGGCGACGTCGCGGAACGTCCACACGGCCGGATCGCACCCGGCGTGAATGCTCTTGGTCGCGTAGTGAGGGTCCGGCTCCTGGAACCCCTGCAATTCGGCCATCGACGCACTCACTACCCTCACTTCCACCGTGTTTCTCCTCGTTTCTTTCCGTGCACACGGTCACCCCCCGCACTTTCTTGGCTCGAGTCCATCGCAGGAATGAAGCAGCGGCGTTATCTTCCTGTCTTTTCATTTACCAACATCCCTTCTATTTTTATCTGTAAATTTTGTTTCTTCCTTGCTTGTTCCTGTCACAAAGCTAACCAAAGGTTTTTCATATCGAGTCAGACTCGAGCTGTCGAGTATCATTTGAGCAGGAAATCGGTCGGAAAGAAGGGATACGGCGAGTGCTGGAAGTCCGCCTGTGACACAGCTTAGCTATTCTCGGTCGAGAAGTGGAAGTCTCTGAGATGCATTATTTTTAAGACCTGGCACCGGTTCAAGCTGTTGCAAGGCGATTGTGGACCTTGCCGTCCACTGACCTGAAACAGATAATCGATGACCGAGAACTCCCCGTCGTCACAGTTGGTTTATCGTGTTTAATTTTTCATCATCTCATCGATCATCTCGTCCTGTGGAATCCGAATTGACCACTCGTCGGCTTCCATTTTCTTTTCAATTTCCTTTGTGAAAGTGGGAAGTGGGAGAAACCTGGCAGCCATAGTGACCAAAACGCTTGCGGCATTTTATTTTCCTTTCACCAATAAAGCAACTTAAATTGAGTCAGAAATTCGTGGCGCAACGCAAGATTAGACGCAAGCGCGTTTGGATATGGTACACCAAGGCGGTTCCAAAACCGGCGCTTCGAGAAATATGTTAAATTGTCAATGGGACTTACCTCGACAAGTGAGTGCTCCAGCTGTGCCACATTCTACTCGGCGGCTCGCAGCTGGCGTCATTTTAAATGCGGCATGTTATAATCCAATGGACAGAAGAAAAAAAAATCGAGGAGCTGATGCGCATTACCTCGCGTCTGCTCTCAAGCCTACGGGCCCAGGGCAAGAAATGTTTCGGTATTGAATTCTGATTCGGTTGGTTTCCGATGTTGTCCTTCGGCACACCGTGAAGGCTTCTAACGGAAGGGCTAGTTTTACGGAGCGGACGGGAAACCTCGTGACACATTGAGTCGGTACGTAACTTAACGTTACGAACTTAATGAACGTTAACGATAAGCAATGGCCTTAATTCATATGGCGTCATGCGTAGGCTATGTATAGGCTTCAATTCTGGCCTTTAGGCCTATGTTCTAGGGAAGTAATGCGCCGGCCATACAGACACATCCTTGCAGATCCTTAGGCCTAATGCAGGTTTTGGGGGGACAATGTGGGTGGCGGGAGGTCTGCCCAGCAAAAATACGGTTTTCATTTATTTAGTCCACAGTGGCAAGGCCAATTTTCACAGGTTCTAAGGAGAGTGAAAGAGCCTAGGTATGTACATGTGGCAACTCTGAAGTGAATAAATTTAATTCAAATTCTAATATGAACACTTGACAAGGATTTGAATTTTACATAGTTATTGCACAATAAGATTCTTCATTATGGCTTAAAAGAAGCATTAAAGGTTTTTAGTGTAACCCCCTAAATTCTGTGTGAACTCCAATGCCTCAATGCACCTTGGAAAACTTTCTCATGTCTTATCCACTCTTTTAAACTTGTGACTGTATAACTCTGACAATAAGTCAAGTATATTTTTTGGTTAATTCTGGAAGGACTAGAATGTATTATTATTGTATGTTGATGCATTCAATAAACTCTTGTTCTTAAAGAGCAAATAAATTAAATTAAATTGGAGTGGATAAAGTGTTCTTACTAGTTTGAATGTTCTTACTAGTTTCCTATGATGAGCCATCATCAAAGGATGGATTAGGTTCCACCTGAACTAGATTACGGAAGTCATTTTCAATTCTCAGAAAAGAATGAGGTTCTTGTGAACCGAATGGCAGGTGCCATGAGGAAAGGAATTGTCAATGCCTTTGAGTTGAGGGTCTGCTGATTAGACAAGGAAAGAAAAAGTAATGCTATTATTCAATCCTAGTGGATATGATGAGAGAAGATAAGCGTTAAGAACACCTCAGACGGAATTCCATGACATCTTGAAGTAGTTTGACCCATATGGAGAATGTGCTTATCAGATAAGCCTTGGAACTTTTTGCACCTAATCCATAACTGGCAGTCTTATCTATAACCTCTGTAGTCAATCTGCATATTGCCCTGTCAAGGTCAATCTATGTATTCATTCTTCTAACTCATGTCTTGGGGCATTGAGTTATGTAAGCCTAGCCGTTTTTAGCTCATAAGAACATCACTGCATGACCTTCTGGAAAATAATACCTGTTCTTGAGTGTACTCAAGGCATTCATGCATGACTTTTTGTAGGGCATTGCTGGTGGTGGACCTAGTACTTTTTTGTAGGAATGAGGCAGATTCACTTCCAGATTATTAAAAGATGTAGACAGGGATGTGCAGGGATATGTTATAATAATTATTGTAGGATAAGGTAGTCTATTGTGTCAATCTTTCTGTGAAGAAAGAAAGCTTTCATTGTTATGCCAAAGGGTTGTATGCTTATCAATTGTTTATCAATCAATTATCAAATTAGGAACACTTGGTGTTCCTAAAAAATGTCATAGCCTTTTAGCCCATTGCAGTACAAATTTTGGTGGTGTGCCAGTAGTTAAATCTGTGAAAAAATGAGAACTTTTGGAAGCAAAGAAAGTTTTGACATTAATGAATTTGCTTCGTAGACAATCAGCAAACTATCAAGAATTGACTACAAGTTTTGAATGGGAAATGTATTTAGAAAATATAGAACAAAAACATGTTCCAACACATTGGGTGACAAGTATACCTGTCTTTGTACTGCAGTGGGTTAATTTGTGTATCCAGTTTAAGTCTATATGTCTACCTCTGTCATTTTAGTTCATAGGCTAGCTCAAGATAGCCTTTAATCTCAATGTCTGGGGCATGATCACTGAATGTAACATGCTTTTGAATGATGGTATAATACCATAGTGAATGAGGGAAAAAAAGTGTTCAAAATAAGTTCTTGACTGAATCATAATTCTTTTGAATGATCAGTAGAGAAAAGGAAAAAAAGAAATCATTGAGGTAGATTGAAAAATTTGGGTATGCATAGAAAGATGCACATTTTTCCCCATACCAAAATAATGTTTTTCTAGGACTGGAAATTGTTAATAGCTTGATTGTTGTGCATGAATGCAATTGTTCTTGAGATAAGAACAATGGTTTCCTGAAATACATGAAGGTCTTATTGAACTCTGAAGAGGTTATGATGTGCAGTAATTCTTGGATTGTTTAACTTTTTTAAAGCCTTTTAATTCTTTATACATCTTTCATATAACTGCTGTGGAATATCCAGCAATCCAACTGAATGCTTCATATGGATACTTGAGTTGCTCTATCCATGGTGCTCTTTTGGATACTCAAATGCCTCTACTGTTGTTATTTTTCTCTCCCCATATGTTTATGGTATGGTATGTTTATATCCGTTCTTTATGCCAATCTCAGGAAGAAATTAATTTTGAAAAGATTGTTATAGTCATCCAAAGAAAGCACCCACTACCATGTTGAAATAAAAATAAGAAAGTGTCTTGAGTATCTCCACCCTATTCCACATTTTCCCATAATGAAAAATGCAAAACATTTGTTAGTCTATGGTCAATAAATCAATGAATGAAGGCCGAAGGACGACCATTTTCAGTTGCACGTGGCTGTTCATTGATTTATTGACTAGAGTTTGATGCATTGGCCTCATGAAACATTTTGGGATGGCTTTTGATGATGTTACATTATGAAACCACAATGCTTGATTGGCGTTCTCATCTAGTGGCAGAAACAGGAACAGCTTGGGTTTGATGCTACAACTGTCAGTAGAAGCAAAAGGTTTGAATATTAACAAATAAGTATTCACTAACTTGTGACACTAAATGTTAAGCTGCACTCTAGCACCCACATACTTATCTTTTATTATACCAATGGTGGAACTGTATCATCCATTGTCTTTGCATAGCCAGTCACAACTGTGGAAGGCATATGCCCATTACCATTTTGTGGATATGTTGGCAAAAAAAAAAAAGACTTACCAGAAATATTCCTTTATGGCCTATAAGCCCCTAGCTTAACAATGTTGCATCAGTTGAATCTACTTGCCTTTGGACTGTTTTGGGGCATTCTTTTGGTGATAATAGGGATGGAAGGTCAAAAGCTAAGAAACTTAATCATAATGGATCTGGAGAAGTGTGAAGTTCCACCTGAAACAATCTATTGTAGAAGTGGCTTAATCAGTCAACTATTATTTCTACCATGTGTATCTTTTCTCATAGGCATGGATGTCATTCAGTCATATTGGCTGTTGCAATGGATTTCCTCTCTAAGTTAAGTTAATTAATTGTAGTATTGCCCATGATGCTGCATTCAGTCTTGGTATAGTCATAAATGGACATAGTATAGTAATTAGGAATTTTTACTTATAAACAAATATTCATGACAGATCTCCCACAGGGTTTAGTGTTATTATCCCATGGAACTGGAAGGCATACTGATCAGGCCTTGCTGACTTAGATTACAGGGTGTTAGGAAAGTCATGCCCTAATATTAAGTTGTAATAACTATTATAATTTTTGGACTGGAGCAATGGTTTTTGTGCCAAAAGAAGCAGAATTAATAAGAAGGATTAATGGTTTTATTGATTGTTTAAGGTAACCATCTGGCGCGAACATTTTCGACACAGAAGGGGACGTGGGGGACCTCGCCCCCCTGTCCCGGTCCAGTGGTGGCAGCGGAACGTGCATCGCTTCCATTGTAGCATTGGACGTTGGACCCACCACCCCACATACCATGCAGCCATTTGCGCACGTTGTCGAAGATTCCATTTTGGCGCCATAGAGGGTTACCGTAAACCAGCAGATCAATGAAATCATAAACCCTTATTGAATTATTGAGTTTTGCTTATTTTGGTTCAAAATCATTGTTCTTGTTCAAAAAGAAATGACAAAAGTTTTTGGTGTTTGAAACGCCACTCTCGATTTTTTAATTATAGTA